GGGACCAGGTTAGGAAAGCTAAGGCCCAGTTAGAATTAAATCTGGCAAGGGATGTGAAAAATAACAGGAAAGGCTTCTATAGGTATGTAGCAAATAGAAGACAGACTAGGGACAACAGGGACCCTCTCCGGAAGCTATCGGGAAAACTGGCTACCCTGGATTTGGAGAAGGCTGAGATTCTGAATGACTTCTTTGCCTCAATCTTCACTGGCAAATGCTCGGACCACACCACCCAAGTCTCGGAGGGCAGATGCAGGGACTGTGAGAATGAAGACCTTAGGCCCACTGTAGGAGAGGATCAGGTTCGAAACCATCTTAAGAACCTGAACGTGCACAAGTCCATGGGACCTGATGAAATCCATCCACGGGTTCTGTGGTTGGTGACAGCCAACATGGCTTCACTAAGGGGAAATCCTGCCTGACCAATTTGGTGGCCTTCTATGATGGGGCTATGGAACTGATGGACAGGGGCAGAGCAGTTGACATCATCTACCTGGACTTGTGCAAAGCGTTCAACACTGTCCCGCACATTCTTCCACTTCAAACAGGATGCAATGACATGCACACAAAGTAACCCAAACATCTGAGTGTACTAGGAAGAAATCATCAGCTCAATTTTGTTAACACCATCACTTAAATCTGTAATTATAGCACCACAAGTGAATACTTTTTTTTCTTCCCCTCCAAGAGAGGCTGTAACAAACCCTATATGCAGCCACAGAAGACGTCACTAAGCTGGTTCAGTTCCAGCTCTGATGTGATCCCATCCAATTGAGCCGTATCGCCATATCTGGCAGTGTACACTTTACCTGAAATGAACTTAAACAGGATGAGAGCGTGAAGACATCTGTAAGCACCTCAACCATGGGCTGAACTCACTGATCTTGATGTTGTAGCTAACTCCTGCAAAGGTGAGCTACTCATAGTGGCAAGCTGACGAAATTTATGACTAGCCAAATTACTACACTAAGGAAAGTTCTCCTGCTGGTTCTACCTTAGAGTAATGTTAACAGGCAGCACTCTTCTGCAGTGACTTTTTGAAAGCTTTGAAGTTGAATTTATATTTTGTTTTAACAAAATTCATGACATGAAGACTGTGAACTACATTACAGAAAGGATTACAGGTCCCTCAGACAGATAAAATATTGTGTAATATATAAGAGTTGACTACTCTGTACACCAAAGCTTTTTTGACATTTTATTTCACTTTTTCTGACATGCAAGGAAAAGATCACTATTAGATTACATCTTACATGGTATAGTACAATTTGAACACATTAAAACAAATCAAGGCTAACCAAAAGACAACAATTTCAACAATTACGAGAATTAAACCAGGTATGTTACTATTTATTTCAAGACAGATTTAAGAAAGAATAAATAGCGCTTGATAGCCTGTAAGCTACCTAAGCAATGAATGATCCTCAGGT